AAATATTTTTTTACTTGAAGAATTTTTAAGCATAAAAAATCCATATAAAATTTGAAATAACGGGATTTTTGTTTCATAAAAACACATGAATGATCCCAAAAGTGCATTTTAGTACAAAAGCAGATAAACTTAATGTCAATTTTTTTTCATTATTAAACATTTTAATAATTAATAAAATATTCACAAAACAAGAGCTAGGTTCGAAGATTAGTATGCTTAATAGTGTTGTCACAAGAACAATAAATATATCAAAATGATTTGATAACTTATCTTTGTTGGGTTTTATAAAGTCGACATTCTCTTTGATCATTTAGTGAGAACATCATTTTTAAAATATTCCATAACAAAACAATATTGTTCTATCATTTTATCGTCTTTTCTTGTGTTGTTCTTTGACTTGGTCTGTCAAAATTATCAAACATTTGCTGTAATTTATTTTTGGTGTTTTTAGAACTCTTTATTTCATTATTTTTTATTCAGAATAGAAAACCACAGTTTGTTTTAAATTTCAATTAAATTTTAACGAGAGTAATATTCAGTTAAAACTCGACACGAACAACAACATCCCAATTTATTAACATGTTCATAGTTGTATGATTTGGTCAACAATGCTGTGTATGTGTTGCAAAGTATCAAGTTGAGGTCAAATCAAATAACGGGATCGGTTTTTTTGGAAAAGGCTGGCTAATATTCCGATAAATTCCCATATTTGAACATAAATAATTGAATGGGATTGGTATTTTTTTCAAAAAAAGTCGGTACTTTCGATTTTTTGTTTTTTATTTTTTTTAGGAAAAAACAAAAATAAAAAACGGGACTTTAGGGAGTTCTAAAAATATGACAGTACCGACTTTTGAAAAACAGTAAATATATATAATATAAATTATTTTAAAGAGTTAAAATTTCAAACTGAAAAATTAATACATGATTCCTCTAATCAAACATGAAATAAGAGGTATTGAAGGTATTAACACACCACCACAAATTATTGATAATATTTGCAAAACAAAAATTGTGATTAACACTGTCACTGAACAAATGAAAGTGTCATCTCTCATCAGCGCCGGTGGTGTTCAATATTCTTTGTTTAAAGCAAAACACATGGATGTCAACAAACACATTTAATACTTTGGGTGTTATTCAACAAAGTTTAGGTGTTCTGTCAATATCAAATTCCAAAAAGACAATAGAATTGCATGTGAAATTATTTTTATTGGAAAACACAACCATAATTTCGAATTCCTTCCAAGTAATATTCAGTACACTTTTACAAAAGAACAAATTGATGAAGTGTATACATACGCCAAAGGTGGAATGAGGCCTGCCCAAATTTGTTCACAAATGGGACTTTCAGTTAACACTAAATTTATCAGAAAAATTACTCGAGATGTTTACGATATTAGAAACACCGAAGAAGCCAAAAAATTGACCATTTATTGTGATGATTTGAATGATTTTTCCACTCGTATAATTATAAATTCAAGTGGACAATTTGAAGCATGCTTTATACTTAACACAAAACGTGTTAATCATACACCAGAAATAATATATATCGATGACACTGCTACAACCAATCATTTTAATTTTCCACTTGTTGTTGGAAATTACTTGGACCAATGGAACAACACCCATATTTTATTTTTCGCTATAATGTGAAATAAATTATATCTTCATTTGTTGACCTTTTTAATTTTTTAAAAAACAAAAAATTGTTTTTAAAATTGTTTTTTTGTGATCGTTGTATTTCACAAATGAAAGCAATCAAGATTGTTTTCCCATTCTCTAAATTGTTTCACTCTGTTCGACATATACATAG